TCCTCGTTCTTTAAAATGCTGCCATCATGAAACAACTAATGATTTATCTATAGCAATTCATGCTAATGCTACTTTACACCCACCTTCACGCTGCTTGATGAATATTAGTTGTATGCATAGAAACCTTTGGTTGTTTGCACAGCAGCTTGGCGGACATGATTTGAGACGAGAGATATTTGAAGTAGCAACAGCTCCCTTTGTAACTACTCCCACCGTGACTAGCTGTTAGCTCATCAATCTGATCAGAACAAATCTCCGTGTCTCCTGATTGTGATTTTATAACAATGTTCATTTTTAAGAACCTTTACCAGGAACACAAAACTTGATCAGTTTAAGCCTGTTTTTACCTGATTTTGACTTCTTTGGTTCTCATATCAAACAGAAACCATCACAGGTTTTTGTTCCATTAAAACTGGATTAGTTCCTTGGTAAATGTTTTCTGTGTGACTTATCTGAGTGGAACAAATAATAAAATTACCTGCCTGCTTTAAAATAAATGCTGTCATTTATGGTGATCACAGGGAGAACTGTGGGATTTAGAGTAAGGGCAGAACTGGGAGTATGCACTCGGCACTTTCTGTGTTTTGGGTTGTATTTTTTATCATTTGGAGCGATATCAGGATTGCTGAGCAGAAAAGCCTCTCAGCATGAGTTTTAGCAAATGCTAGTGAGTGGAGGACATCTGAGCCCACACCAGGCGCTGCTCTTTTCATCACACACCCAACCCAGCCTGCCTTTCATTCAAAAGCACCAAACTTACCCACAGTCTGGACCAGGCCCACTGCCTGAATATGCTCCCTAACGCTCTGCATTTCCTTCATGCCCTGAGTGTGCCTCCTTCATGATGCAGCCTACAACAAAGCAAATGATGCTTCAAACATGGGGCAGGAAACATGACAGAGTTATCTGAATCAAGTGTTGTGTCCTTCAAATGTCTGCAAGTGGTGAGATTGGAAATCAGCAGAAATGTTGTGCTGCAGATGGTGGAGCAGAACCCCAAAGGAGACCCTTCCACGTGGCGCTGATTATACAGTCATGCTTTATCCACAGCATCTTTAACCTTAAATCAAAAACAATAATAGTTTACAATCAAATAGTGACATCTAATGCTTTAAATCTATTTCATAATGTTTACGTTCACATTCTTGTAACAACAGCAAAAAGGGAAGTGGCCTACCAAAATAAAAGCGCAGCCTAACATCTCAGAATGCCTTTGATGTTAGATTGTGTTTATTTTAGTCTGACTCTGAATGTTTACTTTTTGAATATTTGGTTTTCTTTTTGAATGTTTAGACCGAACAGACTGTGGAGCAGAACAGGGATTAAAAGCAGAATGAAGATTCGATCTGAGAGCCTGGAATGGTTTCCACATCTTCCCTCTCAGAGTTATCTTCTCATGAAGGTGCCGGATAAATCCCATGACTCTGTGGTGATTTTAACACCAACGCATATATGACCTCCGTGCAGTATATAAGCAACTCAAAGAGTAAAATCATATGACTTTGGTGAAAGGGTGGTTTTGTTGGATCATGAGTTAGAAAAGACTTGCTGCAGGGATGAGTCAAAGCTCTGATCACATCACACCTCATCAGCTGAGGCCCAGATTATAACCCGAGGCTTTTTGTGTGCCTCACTCCTTTAGAGGCGTCACATCACGGCCCTCCGCCTCTACTTTCAGAATCACACAAGAATGTTCCCAACAAATCATAGTTCCATTTATTTTGTTTGTCTAAAATCTACAGGTCCTGTTGCTTTACTGGACTTATAAACTGTGAAAATCTGTTTTTATATGTTTATGGAGAATTCCCCTAGAGTGTTTTTTTGTTTTCATTCTGAAAAAAGCAACAACCAGACCACTGATTACGTGACCTAATTAGGTTTGATCCACTACAGCTGTCTGGCCTTTGGGCAAGATCACTGGCTCCTTGTGTAAGCATGAAATGACACAAAATCAATAGAACACTTGGAGCAAAGGCTGGGTGAAAATAAAGCAAATCACAACTCATTTATTAAAAATACCTTTATATTGTAATGGATCAAACTGAATATGTCAGTTTCTAAAAGCTCTACCGCTTCACCAGGATTAGTGCGTTCGGATTCTCATGCGTGTTTTCTGCCCTCTGGTGGAGAAACGTAGACAAAGGTAACAAAAACGACACAATTATCACCCAAAAGAGTTTAAAATATTTTAGATTTTAAGTATTTTGGTCATTTGTGTTTCTGCGTAACTGCAATATATATGTACCATTCACCAAATTTGTGACAGATTTTCTGAGCATGAGGGAGGAAAACGTAGGCGTGTAGTGCAGGATGCATTTCATTTAGAAGAGCTTATGAAGGAGAACAGCAGCATCTACAGGAGTGGAGAACCAGAGACCAATATGGATAAAGGTGTTTTCACATCTTATGATGTTTACAGGATGGTTCATGTAAAAACGATAATTCTTTACCTCACCATCCGTTTGGTTTGAAACTGGACGTTGATTAGAAACGGCAGCAGCTGGACACCTCCTGAAGGAATACCTGAACTTATTTGCCAAATTAACTGAAATCACTTGTCGAGGGAAGATCAAAAAAGTTATTTTACACAAACTGATATGATATTTTAAAAACTAAAGTTGTTTTAAGACAGCAGTGATCCACTATGTGATCCAACGCTGATCAGAATAAACCCTGCTGATCCAACAGGTCTGGTCTAACAGCTTCCCTCTGAACTTTGTTTTAGATGAAAGAAAAGGTATTTTACTATTATAATGGATTTAGCATACTAGGGTGGTGGTGGGTTAGTATTCCTGATCCGTTTGGTTTGTGACAGAGGCTTCGCTGTTGTACAGAAGAAAAGACTCCCTTTGATTTTTATTGTTTGAAACACGGTTCCAGGCACAGCGGCTCGAAAAGCAAATCCTTTTGTCTCACAAACATCCAGCTTCGAGTGATGGTTTCAACAGCCTGCAGGGAGATCGTAGTGCTTCTTCTTATATCTGCTTACATTTTGTTCTGTTCCTTGGGAATTAGTGGAATTAAAGATGAGGATGTGTTTTTAGCACACAATTCAATTCGAGTTCAAGTTCATTTACATAGCGCCAAATCAGGACCAGAGTCATCTCAAGGACCTTCACACAGCAACAGGAAGAAACCTCCTGAGGATCCTGGCTCAGTATAAGCAGCCATCCTCCATAACTCACTGGGGACGGTGAAGACAGAGCAGACACACACACACACACACACACACACACACACACACACACACACACACACACACACACACACACACACACACACACACACACACACACACACACACACACACACACACACACACACACACACACACACACACACACACACAGCTCCCCTTTTAAATCACCTGATGACTTATGTAGCAGAATATAGTTGGTATATTCTTACACTTTTATTAAGGTCCAGAGATATCACTGATCCAAACCTGAGCTGGATCATTGATCTTTGGACCGGGCCCTTAGAATCAAAAGAGGTTGTTTTTACTACAGGGAATTTTATTCAAGCACCTTGTATTGAATTAGAGACAAGAAGAGAGAGAGAGATGGGACGTTTCAGAATATTTATTTTATAATTATTTGAAACAATCACCAGGACTAACTCTCTAATGATGGATGCAGATGAATGTAATGCTGACATTTTGGTGTGTGTGTCAGTTCAGAATCTCCGTCTGGTGGAGGCGAGTCTGAGTGCGAGATGTTGTTTTGCTACTAACTGACCGTCGATGGACTTCAGGAAGGAGACATGAGACGCAATCTATGCCGATCTACGTACCGTGCGGAGACTCCCATGTTAGATCCGGATGCCAGGTCCTTGGACCCTCCTTGTGCTGGAACTGGTGAAACAGCGTTGGCAGCACGACAAACCAGTCTATGGATCGCCTCTCGGTACAACGGCAGGGTTCAGCGTCACGTAGAGACAGTTCAGCTTTTATTCTGAAGGAACTGTCGTCTTGTTGATAAAACGACAGAATTTTCCAGCTTGACAGTTCTCAGCTTAAAAGTAGAAAATACAGCTGGCCAGTCTGTACTTCACTTAGCGATGATGGACATCAGATGGATTTGAGAGCTGGTCGAGTACTTGGTTAGAACTCCGTTGTAACTGCGTTGAAAACTCGTTGGAACTAACTTAAAATGGCATTGTTCTGTTTTATTAAGCTTAGTTGTTTTTGATTCTTAGCCAATCGGAGTGAACAGATTAACTAAACACCACAGGGCTCTGCCACGCATCAGAAAGAAAGTTCTGATTGGATGAGTGAACAATGTGTCATGTGTTTACCTTATGTGGATCAGGATGTCTAGCTCAGTTAGCCCAAAGTCTTGTTATTCATTAAACACATAAATCATAACATTGTGATTTCACAGATCAGTCACCTGATTATTATTGACCAACAGTTGTTTTGATTAGCTTTATTAGAAATAAAGTTCTTTGATTAACTAATGAAAAGCGTTCTTCGTCCCTCTTCTGTCTTCTTTGCTGGAATGTAAACATCAGAAGCAAGCGCACGACCTTGGCAATTTATGCACACTGTCACTGTGTCAAAGGGCAGCTGTTAAGGCAGAAATGGCATATTCATAACGCTACACTTATGAACAACCCGTGGTCATTTGCAGCAGAACTAATGGAATGTTTCTGGCCAAAACTTTATTCCACATCTACCAGAATAAATATTAATGGACATTTCATTTAAGACCTGAAACAGCCACTGCGACCTGTCGTATCGGCTGGATAGAATCCGTCTTTTCTCCTAACTGAGGCCATTCAAACACCTTTCCACAACAGCTAAGAAAAGTTCTTACCATGTTTTCCACAGAAACCCATGAGGTGGATCTCCCTTTGACAGGAAGCTGCTTGGTTTTTGGTTTACTGTGTCCTGTTTCTGCTGCCCTGAACTGACCTCTAAACCCGCTGTATCTGTCCTGGATGGAAACTGAGAACATCAGCATCATCAGCGCTTTCACTAACGAGTGTTTCTGTGTCAGTGTTTTAGAGCATGGCCAGTAGATGAAGACACTGTGATCGAGAACCACAGCAGGGATGAACGGGACCGACAGAACAACATACCAGGAGGAGGAGCTGGGGAACTCCACCCGGACCTATTCCTACCATCACCAGAACTACACCCTCCCCCCACCACTCCTACAGGGCAAGACTAGCACCCCCAAACCTGCAGCATGTGAGCAGGTCCACATAGCAGTGGAGGTCTGATTCCCCTCTGGATCTGTCCCTGTCTCATCACACGTTGTCCTCATCTTGTTGCTGACATGTTCTTCTGTTTCCTCTCATCAGGTCTTCCTGATCCTGGGGATCATCTCTTTACTGGAGAACATCATGGTCATCACAGCCATTATTAAGAACAAGAACCTTCACTCACCCATGTACTTCTTTGTCTGCAGGTGAACCCTTTTAGACTCAACATGAATTGTAATCTAATAACATAATGTTGTATTTCCTCAGTGCGTTTTTGGCACGTTTGGTTGTCGCGTGCACGCCCCATTTGTCGGTTCCGTTAAAACCCAGTTCCGTTAGAACTTGTGAGACTGTGCATCTATCAGGGTTCGGTGGGGATGTCGGTGAGTTTTATTGTACTAGACCCTGGTCTGGACTTCCTAAGTTAGAATCATATCTTCTATTTTAAAGGTGAAATGATATGCAAGACTTGTCCCTTTGTAATAGCCCACTTCTTTTTAAGCAATCCCGTTATCTTTGGTTTAGATACTAGGGACGAAGCCCGGCGGGAGGCCAGCCCGCTGGCAATTATTTGGGTTATTTGGATTAATTGCGCCCCTATCAGCTTATGTGGGTGGTTGGTAACTATAAAATGATTCTTGTTAGTTGATCAGACTAACATAGATTTATCAATTTATCTAACTAATCCAACCTTCCAGCGCTGATAGAGACTTTTTCACACTTGCGATCAGAGCCAAAATTAACCCCTAATGTTTTGGTTTTATCATCCTTAAGACATCTCGTTACTCGCGGGTGAGGAAGGAGACAAGCTCCTTTTATCTTAAGGTTTCTTTATATTAATCTGTCACAAACCGTAAAGTAAATCCTGATGATTCAGGAACCTATAATTAATGTGCTTACCTCTGTGCAATAATGGTCAGGGCTCCAACTCTTAAGCTTTAGAGAAAACCTGAAAGAATCAGGACTATGGATCTTTTTCCAAAAAGTTTATTACAAGATCAAAAAATACAAAAATGAGTAAATACAAAACTAACTGTTTCCCCCAAGGAGAAATTAGTTCTAATGATTAATTAAGAAATAAGGAGTTGATTTACACCAACTCTGTCTTCGAGCTACAGCTCCTTCTGTCTCAATCGACTGCCCCAAAACGTGTGTTCTGTCAGCGCCGACCTCTTCTCTCCCAGCTCTGCTCTGTCTCTTCCTGTCATATGCCCCAACTGCTCTGTTCTAGCTCTGCTCGGGGCTGCTCTTTTATACCCTCCCTGGGCCAGCTTAGACGAGGTAAAAGTCACATATATCATTATCTCATGACAGTAAGGTCATGGGGTCATTTACCAGATACACAGTTTTTAGCTCAACACAAAACATCTGGTGTCATTATCAAGACATGCAGCATTCTACATGAGGGCACAGGTCATAAATCATCATATTTGTTGCAAATTGTCGATCTCCTTCAGCATTCCTGAGAGGGCTTCTCGATCCAATGGGGCTGTCTTCACTCTATTCCAGTCCTTCTTTTCCCGCCAGAGGTGGATCCAGGGGTGGAGCCAGAGGTGGAGCCAGCCTGCCTCCTGACCTTTTGCCCAGTTCTGTCCTCTTGTCCCTGTGACCCTTCTGTGACCCTCGTTCCTGACCACAGTTTTTGACCTGCAGCCCAGTTTTGCTCCCAGCTTGGATGCTTGTTGTGCAGCTGGGCTCCTGTCTTCTGGCTGATTTTACTCGCATAAGCCAGTTCAGTGTGTTTCAGCTTGCCACTGTCTTTGGCATGTGGGGACTGGCAACATGGTCAGCCTGTTGTTGCTCCCACTTGGAATGATTCACCATTTTAATTTTGTTCTACTTCAAACCAAATCAAAATTCAAGAAATGACAAGAAGCAAGTGTCCCTCAAGGCTCTTCTAATTTCTGCTCATTATGGGAATTTGTGATGATTAAAAAAACACTAATTTACTTGTCCTTTATCAAATCAGTCATATTAACTGAGTGGCACGTGCCAGACCCAGACCCAGACCCAGTTCTGACTTCTGGATCAGTTTTCACATAGCAAAGATAAGTATAATTATGATTAAGTACAATACAAGTACACAGTAATACCATCCAGAGCAACAAGGGTCTCATTATCCCCAAAAGTTGGTTGTTTTTCTGTTTG